GGAGATAAATTCTTTATATATTAGGGAAACTTAACTCTCTACCGCTATTTGTAAATGTTGGAATACGTGTATACATAAGAATAATCTATCGTATCGGAAATTTTAGATATTCCTTTAGCTAATTTACGTGAAATATACTTTCAGCAAGATGGGAAACATTCCCCCTCATAACTATGGAAATATTAGAATACTGTTAAATTATTATTTTTCAAATCAATGAATTGGAACCAATGAACGCATATCGATAGCTTCCTCGATTCTTGGATTTCGCCGTTCTCGATTTCTGATTTTGGGGATTTTTGAAATACGAAATATATCGTGGGAACTACAACAATGTCGAAGACCTGAAAAATGCTTTAATAATTCACGATTTAGATATTTGCAAACCCATCCCGTTTAAAAAAAAAAGAAAAATATATTCACAGTTTCAGTGGTAACAGTTATTTCAAAAGTAAAATATATCAATCCCAAATAAATTTTAATATGTGTATGACTATTTTAGTAAATACCATTTTGATTTTTTGTTACTTATCACGGCCTACTAATAAGAAAATGATATATTTTAAATATTGCAGTCAATAGTGAAAATAAATATAGAGTGATATATATTTTTGAGAAGCTCATAGCAAGACAGATCATATGGTTTATAAATATACAGGGTGTTCCATTTGAAAAAAACATAACTTTAGTTCATATTTTCAAAAATATTTTTTTGGTAGAAAAACAGACTACGCCACTGTATTCTAAGTAAAAAGTTCTACAATAAGCAGTTTTCGCCTTCTCGATATCTTTAACAATAACAGAGATACAGGGGGTATCCCAAATTGTAAAATTTTCGAAAAGACCCTGTAGCTCAGAAATGAAGAGGGCTATGAAAATTTTGTTTGCAGCATCTTCTGTTTGACGAAAAAGTGGGACAGGTTTGTGCAAAACGCACCCTTCTATCTTCACTAATAACGGAGATACCCTATGATTTCAACTAAAATGGGACACACTGTACGGAGCGATCAACATAGTAACACGGCACATAAAACAATCGGCACGCCAACTCTACTCAGATTCCATTGTTTAAAATTTCTATAAAATTTGACCTTGTCGGCGCCATTATGGTTTCCTAGTCAGGGCCGGATTAAAACGTATTAAAAAATTTCTCAGAAAATACGACAGGGTCGTACTAAAAAAATACTGTAATTGACTGAAACTGAATTTTATTTACAATACTTTTTGTCCAAACAAATGAATCGTTAACCGCGCATACTTCTCGCTCGAAAAGTAAAAATGAAAAAATCAATTAAATATTTCACTGTAGAGAATAGACAATTAAAATTAAAAACATGCAACTAACAAAACATTCCAGGAGTTACTAAAACAAGAATTAAAAAATATACCAATAAAATATTTATTGAACAATATAAAGAGGCTACGTACAAATTATGCCCATCAATGGGCGTAGCAAATTTATTAATATTCAAATTTCACAAATTAATAAATCCACAATTTTTTTTTTGAGAAACTTCTATTTTTTCATGGCAGGAAACAAAGTAGGTACCGCATTGTATTTTTATACGGTTAGAAAGTGGAATTGGTAAACATTTTAAATTCAAAGTGAACAGAACACAACCTGTACTTGTGGGCCTTATTTATATCTTCAATCAAGTCTTCTCCATTAGCTGCAATTGCCCATGTTCTTGCCCTAAAAATGTATTGTTAACTTATTTTCGATATACTCATTTTATTTATTTTTATAATTATATTTAAATGAATAATATAATGATTTTTAAATTTAATTTTTAATGTCTAGATTCTAGATACAACATTAAATTTTATTTTACTAAATATTTAACATTAAATCTTACTAATATTAAAGTTTGTTAAGATTTTTAATTAGATCTTCCTATTTAGCTGAATGTCCTAATATGTATACTACTGTTTTTTTTCACAACTAAAATATGTTAAAATAATTAATCACATATGTATATACATACCTAATCGGATCTCTAGGAAACAGAAAGAAACTTTTATTGCAGTTTAGTCCTCTACTCGGGCAGTTTTTTGCTGCACAACTTCGCCCAGGCATTTTAAAAACACGTAAAAATTAAAGTTTTAAAGAAACGAAAATAAACTAGAAAAACCAAATATATAACACAATAAACAAAAATAAAACAACAACTATAAAATATAACTCAAGAAATAAACAAAATAAATTAATCCGTACGCTACTGACTCGAATCAGCCGAAAGTGTGCTCAGTCGATGAAAGAAACTACGACACTGGTTACTTTCTGTTGATGGAAACCCTAATGGCGGCGTGCGCGACGGTATGCGCGTGGCGTTCCCGCCAAAGAGAGTTAGCCTGCCGTGTGATTTATATGCCGTGATAGTAACATAGGATGACTATTTATCAGCTGTTATTACTAACGTCAAAACATACCAAAAATTAAATAATACGATAAGTTTTTTGACGATATTTAAGTTCGATTTCCATAATAATGTGAGATAATCAAAACGAGATGAGAAATAAATGAGTTTAATCGGAAGGTTTTCTAATTCATTTATTGAATAAGTGTAGTAAACAATATAGGTTATAGTGTGACCAACGGATCTGTAGCTACGGGGTATCGGCAGGGGAACGCAGTTGTAAACAAAACACGCCCAATTTCATTCATAAAATAGGCATGGGCGTACGGTGTTATATGAAAATAATGTGTATCATAAATATAATACTCAGATTAATATTTTTTTTCAAAAAACTTTATGCTGTTTGAATCGTTACTGTTGAGTTAGCAGATAAACACTAAAAGCTTTTATTAAAGCTCCCTTAAATATTTTGTATCATCTTATTATTGTGTTGTTAATATAATAGAAGAAATAATTACAGCTGGGGGTTGGAACCTTTGGTGTTACACAGCAAAATAAAACACTAAATCAGTACAATACACCAAAACGCTTTTAATTTTACACTGGACGCACGTTTCGCTAACCATGTCTGCCATCAGCAGATGATCAAGACTGAGTCTTGAGGTATATTTATTTATATATCTGTACTAACTATATTTTTTTCTATAATACATAATTTTAGATATAACTAACTTTGGAAGCGCAAACAAAACATAATTTTACTCACCAGTAGATCCAATATTGCCTATTACACCAGATATGGTATCGCTCCGCCAGCAGTTTTTAAAGGTTGGGTCATTGTCTACCCATATGTTTCATCCAAATAGATAATACTTGGCTATATTTTCAAATTTCGCGTATATATTTATATCTCTCTCTGCAATATAATGGGCCGCTCCATTAATATTTATCTGTTATTTTGACATTTACGCCAAAAAAATTAATTTGATTTTAATACCCCTAAGCTGTTTCTCTGCAAAGGAAAATCTGATTCTTCCTGCAATTTTTGCAAAAGCTTTCTAATTGCGGGGACGAGTTTGAATTCGAGATAAAATCTATTTATCAAATTCCTGGCCACTTCGAAAAGTCGTCGAGCTTTTTCGACAGCAGTCTCACGTGGGCGTTTCTTTCCAGAGCTGGATATCATTTTATCGGGGTTAGTTTTCAGCGTTTTTATCTTCTGGTGTGATTTTTTATAGCCGATACGCTAACCCGGTATAAAAATATCCGCTCAAGTTTACGTTTAAGCGGCAACTTAAGCGAACTCTCTGTAGCTTCTTCATCGCAAAACCTTATTATGAACACAAGGAAATAAACCAAATGAGATTTCATCCACGTTATTATTAACTTACCTATATAAATTAGCTATTATTTCTCTTGTCTGACTATGTAGCGTCTTACCCTTAACAAATTTATTCATTTTAAAATACAATATACGATCAAGCTTGATATTAATAATTAAAAACTACGAACGAAAAACATTATAACAAGATAACAAAACAATAAAACACAACTTAACTATCAAATATACGAAAAATATAGGAATAAAGTTTAGGATAACCGGTATAAAATAATGAAATAAAGTAATAATGATCAAAAAAATGACACCGCCACTGGATATTTCAATAGTATTCAATATTCCTACTCTTTTCAGAAGAGACCCTGAAGTTGTGGATAAAGCAAGCGAATAGGAAAGGCGTAAAAGCCATGGCAACCGCGTGGTAACAAATACGGTGACGTACTCTGGCCAATCATGTTCGATGAATAGGCGGCGATGCCGGTTTGCCAATGATATCGTTGAAAAATCTTCAACTTTCATAATAAGCAGATTATACAGAATGAAAGAAATAAGTTATTAAATAAAACATATCGAACAATATGAACTACGTTAAAATTCCTTAGTAATATACGTCAGAATATATGCTAAACACATTATATATAATAAAAATATATTAAATTTATAGTTCATGTCTGGCAATTTTGCAATTTTATAGATAAACGTGGCAATGTCGATTTTTTTTCTCGCATTCCTTCCGTAGCTTCAGATCCGCTGGTCAAACAGTACGTGCTTGTAAGAAATTTTTATAAAGAACCGCATATTAAGTATGATATGGTCTCGTACACTTTCGATTAATAATTCATCGGACATGTTTAATCTAAAACCGCTCCACTAAAAACAGTCGCGCGGCGTAGACTATTCGTCCCCCTCCCATGCATTCTCTGATTTCGCCTGATGGCGCGAGTACCGCCGATAGCTCGAAGCGCACCGATCGCACCGATCTAATGCGGTGCGCGGGCTTACATTTATTTCAACGTAAACTGAAAATTACGTGCCGCTCGCTCGCGCCGATACCCTTCCAGTGCGCGCGGAGCTTTACATTGAAATTAGAGGAACAAACTTCTACGTTAATTTTAACCACTAATTTTTTCTACTAATTTCGCGGTTCTGAATGACATTTATACTCTCATATTTATCTACAGGGTGTGTGGTTTAGTTTTCTAGTAGTTTTAGAAACTGTCATCACATCGTTAACGCTCAGAGGATTTTCCTTTGTTTATATAGCTCTAAAAATGAATTTAAAGCTGATTTTTTTTGTTTTACAGCAGGGCCGGTAAACGTGGTAAGAAAAAAGGTAAAAAATCGAAGAGATACGAGGAAAGACATCCACCCAACGCGGGACACGGGGCAGTGGCCAGAGGTTCTCACCCTGTAGATGGTCGGTACGATGACATGGCTCCCAAGTAAGCGAAATACAAATATGCAGGGAAAAAAATAATGTATAGGGTATCCCATTTAAAAAAATATATAAGTTTGGGGCATATTTCGAGAATAACAGTCTCAATAAAAATCCAGTTACGCCACTGAATTATACGTAAAAACTCTACCCATAAAACGCACGAAAATGGGACACCCTGTACATTAAATTTTGATTTTTTGCATGGATATTTCTAAGGGTACCTACATAGTGAGGCATCTCGCCGCGATAAAACAGTGTTTAAAACGTGCGCGAGCATCGCATCGAGATGTCCCACTATGGTAATCGCAAAACAATTTCCGATGCACGTGATCAACCTTGAGTAACAGGCGATGGCGACAGCGCTGCCAGATTGTGATGAATCTTAATTTAAAAGTGACAAACAATGCAATATTTATTATATCATTTTTTAAAAATTTGTACGTTTTATTTTTAATTTAATAACTAGTATTTTAGTAATTAATTGATTTATTTGTTTTATAGCTTATTTTACTTATTACATATTGGCAAAAACTAGTCCATTATGAAGATTATTCTAAGAGTTATTATGGGTTATTTATTTATTTATTGATGTACAGGGTGTCCCACTAAGAATACCTCTCGGCTGATTTTCAAGTTTCTAGAACGACCGCTAGGGAGCGCAACTGCAACAAAAAAATAAGAAAATGGAGTTTTTACACAATTTTGCCTTAATAAGGTGTACTATAAGTAACAGCTTCATAATCTTCAGTAAATTTTGAATATTTTTTGTTACAGCCATTTCCCCCTATCTACCAAAATAAAGTGGTGGGGGAAGGTTAGATCTGTTTTTATTTGAATATTAATAACTCTGGACTGGATGATCGGAATCCAACAAGTGAGGGCTCGTTTAAAAGAGCGTTTCTTACTCTATATTGTACCATATAAACAATAATAATAAGCTTTTGAACGTAGACGCTAGGGGGCGTTGTCTTACAATTTAACAAACATTGCGCGTTTTTTCAAAAAAATTAAATGCAATAGTATATGTAATTTTAGCTGATATAAAGAGTAGTAAAAGCTTAAAAGTCAGCGAAAACCGCATCTTGATATCTCCTTTCAAACCGAAGATATTAGCAAAATTAATAAATACCAAAAATAGAAGCCCTTAATTATCTTACTTTTAACACGGTATCAAGTAGCCCTCTTGATTATGCCTCTTCTAAAAATAAGTAGAAACAGTTAGTTTATTTTAAAATCGACGATATACCAGAAGATATGCATATCAGATGTATTAATATCTAATAATTAAGATATTAATAATAGTGAACAAGAAACGATGATTCAGTGAAGTCATGGTAGGCTTTGGAAAAAAGTTGCTTATGACGTAATAGTATAAACGCCAAATTGTTATTAGATCAACATTTTGATAGTTTTAGTAGCGTCTTTTATCTTTTGATTGCTTTTTCAAAATTCAAACAACTTCAACTACTTCAAATAATAAAGGCATTTTGAAAAAGCATTTAAAAGATAAAAACGCTGCTGAGACTATCAAAATGTTGATCTAATAACAATTTGACGTTTATACTATTACGCGAAAAGCAACTTTTTTCCAACGCCTACCAGGACTTCACTAGTCATCGTTTCTTCATTCACTATTAATATCTTAATATTAGATATTAATACATCTGGTATTATGGTATTCTGGTATTTCGTCGATTTTAAAATAAACTAACTGTTTCTATCTTTTTTTTTTTGTTAGAATGGGCCTAATCAAGAGGGCTACTGATATTGTATTGTAAAAATAAGGTAATTAAGGGCTTATTTTTGTCTCTTTTTTGTTTATTTAATCTCGTTATCGTAAATTATACAACAAATTTAAACATTTTGCCAAAATTTCATTTAGTCAGGTTTACAGACTTTAATGTCAATGTCTATACAGGGTTGTTCACCACATACGACACGGAGTATTGTAGCTAAACGATGAGATTTTTACAAATTGTAAGTTTTGGGTTCGATGAAGGACTAAAAATAATTTTTCAAGATACAGAGTGTCCCAAATAAGTAGAAAATATCAAAGTTGTATTTTTTTAAATGGAAAACCCTGTATATTATTACATTTTTAGTTTCTACGATTAAAATAAAGGTAAATTTGATTAAGATTTATTATACTTAAACTTTACCGTTTTTGAAATATTTTCAATTTTGTGAGTATTGGTAGTAAAATTTTTAAGGCTTCATTTCTCCAAAGGGTATCAAAGTTTTAATACTAAATATTTACTGAAGTTTATTTACTGATCAGTTATTGTGTTGCAATAATACAAATAATACTACCTTATACAAGAGTGTAAAAATTTATTTTAAATAATTATTAGCTTCAAACGGCAATAACTTGTTTAATTTAAATGGAACACCCTGTATATTTTACGAGAATCAGATGCACAATTTAATTGTCTATCAAATTATATTATACCATTTTTTTTACCTATCTCTTTAAGTTTCCGTAGAAAATGCATTTTCTTGTAATTTAGAACTTATTTATCAATATACCCATGGATCTATTGACATTTTAGATTATTTTAAAGATGTACCAAATTTTTAAAGAGTACAGATACTAATATTGTCGATATAATTCGTTTATTTCATTAAAAAATAAAAAAAACTGTTTAAATATTTGTTAAAGAGTACCAATTAATATGATTCCAGTATTCAAACTACATTAACTGACTGTTTGCGTTGATTAATAATAATTGCTCCAAATACTAAAAAACTGAATTTTGTATGGGCATTAGACAGTGTGATAAAAAGTAACACCTTAAAAATGATATTTCATTTTTTAATAAATGCTTATTTATAACAACAGAGAGACTTTAATTTGATAACTTATTATTATATTGATTTCTGACTCAAATCCACATTTATTTATAATAATTTATTAACGAACACAATTAAGTATGTAATTAATTAGTATACGGGCGGAAATAATGGTGTTATATTTAATTAATGGTATAGTCTTTTATAAAGATTTAAATAGTGTTCTTATTGCATACAAATGGTCTAGTAATATTATCGTTTTGCTAAAAACGATAATATTACTAGTCTGTACATTTTGTACATTTGTTGCTTTAAAAACAATCTAAAATGTCAATATTCCATGGGTATATTGATAAATGAGGTCTAAATTATAAGAAAATGCATTTTCTACGAAAACTTGAAGGGATAGGTAAAAAGTGGTATAATACAATTTGATAGACAATTTAATTGTGCATCTGATTCTCCTAAAATATACAGGGCATTCTATTTCAATTAAAGAAGTTATTGCCGTTTGAAGCTAATAATTATTTTAAATAAAATTTTAGACACTCTGTATAAGGTAGTATTATTTTTATTATTGCAACATAATAATTGATCAATAAATAAACTTCATTAAATATTTAGTATTAAAAACATTGATACCCTTGGAGAAACGAAGCTTTAAAATTTTTACTGCAATTTCACAAAATTGAAAATATTTCAAAAACGGTAAGGTTTAAGTATAATAAACCTTAATCAAATTTACCTTTTTATTTTAATCGTAGAAACTAAAATGTAATAATATACAGGGTGTTCCATTTAAAAAAATACAACTTTGATATTTTTTATTTATTTGGGACACTCTGTATCTTGTAAAAATATTTTTAAATTGTAGCTCTAATAGTCCTTCAACGAACCCCAAACTTACAATTTGTAAAAATCTTATCGTTTAGCTACAATACTCCGTGTCGTATGTGGTGAACAACCCTGTATATGATTCATGACGTGCATCGGATAATGTTTTGCGATAACAATATGTTTGTACCCTAATAGAAATATATTTTTTGGCTGGTGTTCGAAATAAGACTAAATATTTTTTTCTTTTTAAGTATTTTTGGTAGCTTAAAATATACAACAACACAACGAACAAGATTGTAGACTGTATTAGTTATATTCATTTTGATTTACTTCTTTTTTTATTTTTAACTTCTTTTAGACATCCGCAGTACCTTAACTACTTAGCTACAGTTGATAATACGAGTAGAATCAATCACGAAGCATTTACCAGGTTTTAATAATAATTATTGTTTTATTCTCTATTTTTTATTTGCTTTATAAATTGTGATGTTTATCTTTAACTAAAGAATTCCTAGAGATTATAATATTATTTTATTTTTCACATTAATATCCAATAAAAATTGTTATTTTGTTAATTTTATTTTATTCGCTTTTAATAATTACTTGTTTGTTTGTTTTTGGTTCTTGTTTTAGTCTTAATTTTTTCAGTTTAATTTTATTAAATCTGTTTGGTAAAAAAAAATAAAAAATATTAAACTATAGTCCTGTTGTCATGGTACCTTAATTCTCTTAGTCTCAAAAGTGGCTCACCCCCTATAACTTTTTTATTTCTTCAGATAAAAAAACGAGATTTGGTATGTTAGTATATGACATAAATTAGGATTGATTGACGTATTCAATTGTTTTTGGTCACTTCCTGTTTCACCGGAAATGACTACAACTTTTGATTTTTAAATGGCACTCTCGGAATTGTTTTAGTCTATTCGAGAGAAAATTACATTCTGAATAGAATGATATATCATTAAAATTCAATCTAGAGTGCCATGGCTATGTTAAAAACACTAATTCTTAATCAAGGAACCTTGGGAAAATAGATTTGATCGTCTAATGTTTTGAGTGTCTTGTCCTGGCCAGTTTGAAAATGCTCAAATCGTATTTTTAATCATATCTCAATTTTTTCAAATGGAACGAGGGTGGCTCATTAGCATATTTGGAAAAAGCATTTTTTTGCAAATAATTTGATACCACACATTTGGTATTTCGAGTCAATTTTCCTTTTCAAATACACCATATGCGAAATTGTCAAAAGTTGACATATGATATGTCATTCTCTTCAGAGTATTATTTTCTTTCGTATCAAGTAAAAAAATACCGAGAGTGCCATTTAAAAATCAAAAGTTGTAGTCATTTCCGGTGAAACAGGAAGTGACCGAAAACAATTGAATACGTCAATCAATCCTAATTTATGTCATATACTAACATACCAAATCTCGTTTTTTTAACTGAAGAAATAAAAAAGTTATAGGGGTGAGCCACTTTTGAGACGCACTCGGTATAAAATAAGTTTTAAAATATATTTGCAAAATTCTAAGGTATATTTAAACTGGTTAAACTGATAAATATGCCGTACGATCGAGAGAGAAAAAAAACGGCGTCATGTTGGCAGCGATCTTCATTTTCGAGGCAACTCTGACGCCGTTTTTTTTTCTCGATCGAACGTTACTGTTTGCATTATATCGGTCTATAATTATTTAAATTATTTAAAAGCAGTGTATTGACATTGTCTAAAGTTGGTTCGTTCGCTATATATGTTAATTGTTGCTTTTTGTGTCTTTGGCCAGGCATTGGGAGGATTTTCCAAACGGTGGGCCCCCTCACTACCAAAGAGCACCCACTGAATACGAGAGGCCCCCACCATATTATTATCCAGGATCAGGGAGGTGAGTACCTTACGATAACTTAAAAAGAAATCTTTAAAAAGGTTTTATAGTGGAGTACCCAGAGACTTTTATCTCGGAATGTGAAACCTTCTGTATTGTGTTTTATAGATAAAATACTACCGGTAAATACTAAATATTTACCCATTTTTTTTCGTTGCTTTTAATTTTTTATTTTAGTAATTTTAGTAAATTCTTAATTATTTCCTTGTTAATATTTTGATTTTTTTAATTCTTTTTCTAAGTAAATTTTGTAAGTAATGCTCTCCTATTAGGTTAGTATACAGAGTGCGCCAAAAAACATTGCCATCTCGCGTGGGGAGAAAACTCACGTAAAAATTTTTACGATTTATTTTTTGTATCAAGTTAAGTTTTTTTTCGATTTATTATAATTTTCTTCCAAGTGAAAAAAAATACTTGTAACATAAAATTGTTTAATGATGTAATTGTATATATTTTTTTATTATTTTTAGCGAACAATAAACCAAAAAATCACAGACAGGACGTGTAAGATTTCGACAAAACAATGGAGAAGTACAGAATGTACAGACTGAAAGTTTTTAGTTTTTATGTCAAGCATTTTTCTCATATATTCCGAGATTAATAGTTAATTCGTTTTTGTGATGTTTTTTTACTAAGTATATATTATTTCTTAGCTTGTTAATATTACTTTTCGAACCGCCTGTATATATTTAAATTTTTTTTCGTTATGGTGGTATGTGTTCTCGATTAATCTTGTTTGAAACTTGTTTAGAAAAAAATGGACACATTCCATTTACGCTCAAGACAAACTATTTTTATATATTAATGTATCATATGGACACCCCTCGTAGATATAATACTCTTTCTCTCTCTCTTTATCGGACACACCCCGTATATATCGTCGTTACTTTAGTAAAATTATATTATAACAAAATATAAAAATCTATTTTCTTCTAATATACCTAGTATATAGAAGAGAAATAAATCAAAAATGTTTTCCAACGTAGGTTGTGTATATATTTAGGAAAATTTAAACGTTTTTTATTTTAAATTTCTCGTATTTTAAATTCGACTTCTAAACGATCTCAAGCGAGCACATTTTACTCACGATGCATTTAAAAGAAAAATAAGTAATTTTAAGTAGACTTTCTGTATACAGGGCGGATAAAAAGTTGATGGAAACATTTATTTTCCCTGTATATATTTCTCGTGCTCAAAAACATTCGTATGAGGAACAAAAAAAATAAAAAATAAAGAAATGAGGCCAAATTGTTGCCATAATTCATGTTTATTATGCGTTATGTAGTTAAAAATGATAATTCTGATGTTTATATATTAAATGAAATAAAAAAAAAATTAAATATTGATATTGATTTATTTACTTTCATCCTAGACTTCTTATTATATACAGGGTGGTGCGAACTGTATTCCGGAAACTTCGGCAGCATATTCTGCAGATAAAATTAAGTAAAAAAGTTCGTATAAATGTATGTCCTTATACAGGGTTGTTCATCACATACGACACGGAGTATTGTAGCTAAACGATTAGATTTTTACAAATTGTAAGTTTTGGGTTTGTTGAATTACTATTAGAGCTACAATTTAAAAATATTTTTACAAGATACAGAGTGTCCCCAATAAATAAAAAATATCAAAGTTGTATTTTTTTAAATGGAACACCCTGTATATTATTGCATTTTTAGTTTCTACGATTAAAATAAAGGTAAATTTGATTAAGGTTTATTACACTTAAATCATACCGTTTTTGAAATATTTTCAATTTTGCGAAATTGCAGTATAAATTTTAAGGCTTCATTTCTCCGAGGATATCAAAGTTTTTAATACTAAATATTTACTGAAGTTTATTTATCGATCAGTTATTGTGTTGCAATAATAAAAATTATACTACCTTATACAGAGTGTCTAAAATTTTATTTTAAATAATTACTAGCTTTAAACGGCAATAACTTATTTACATTAAATAGAACACCCTGTATATTTTATGAGAATCAGATGCACAATTTAATTGTCTATCAAATTGTATTATACCACTTCTTACCTATTACTTCAAGTTTTCGTAGAAAATGCATTTTCGTATAATTTAGACCTCATTTATCAATATACCCATGGAATATTGACATTTTAGATTGTTTTTAAAACAACAAATGTACAAAACGTACAGGCTAGTAATATTATCGTTTTTAGTAAAACGATAATATTACTAGCCCATTTGTATGCAAAAAAAACTATTTAAATCTTTATAAAAGAGTATACCATTAATTAAATATTATACCCCCAGTATTTCCGCCCAAATACTAATTAACTACATACTTAATTGTGTTCGTTAATAAATTATTCTAAATAAATGTGGATTTGAATCAGAAATCAATATAATAATAAGTTATGAAAATGAACTGTTGTTATAAATGGGCATTTGTCGAAAAATTAAATATCATTTTTAAGGTGTTACTTTTTACCACACTGTCTAATACACAAACATAATATAGTATTTGGAGCAATTATTATTAATCAACGCAAACAGTCAATTAATGTAGTTTGAATACTGGAATCATATTAATTGGTCCTTTTTAACAAATATTTAAACAGTTTTTTTTTAATGAAATAAACGAACTATATCGACAATATTAGTATCTGTACTCTTTAAAAATTTGGTACATCTTTAAAAATAATCTAAAATGTCAGTATTCCATGGGTATATTGATAAATGGGTTCTAAATTACAAGAAAATGCATTTTCTACGGAAACTTGAAGAGATAGGTAAAAAATGGTATAATACAATTTGATAGACAATTAAATTGTGCATCTGATTCCTATAAAATATATACGGGGTGTTCCATTTAAATTAAACAAATTATTGCCGTTTAAAGCTAGTAATTATTTAAAATTAATTTTTAGACACTCTGTATAAGGTAGTAAAGTTTTTATTATTGCAACACAATAACTGATCAATAAATAAACTTCAGTAAATATTTAGTAATAAAAACTTTGATACCCTCGGAGAAATGAAGCCTTTTTTAAAAAAAAATTTATACTGCAATTTCACAAAATTGAAAATATTTCAAAAACGATAAGGTTTAAGTCTAATAAACCTTAATCAAATTTACCTTTATTTTAAGCGTAGAAACTAAAAATGTAATAATATATAGGGTGTTCCATTTAAAAAAATACAACTTTGATATTTTTTATTTATTTGGGACACTCTGTATTTTGTAAAAATATTTTTAAATTGTAGCTCTAATAGTCCTTCAACGAATCCAAAACTTACAATTTGTAAAAATCTAGTCGTTTAGCTACAATACTTCGTGTCGTATGTGGTGAACAACCCTGTATATATGCTTCGTTTCGGAGATACAGGGTGTAGAAGTTTTATTTTTATTTCGACTTATGCTCTCACTGTTCGGTTTTTATATGATTCAAAATAAAAAATATATAAATTGTAAAATTAGTAATTTTTTAATGGCCATAATGCGTTCTTTCAAAATCATCGAACAACTAAATCATTTCCATAGATCCAGTGACGTACCGTGACTTTGAATTTTGAGACCAAAAACTGAAACAATAATTTGTCAAAAAAATCATATCACAGCTATATGTTTTATTTTGCATAAAAATGTTAACTAATAAGTTAGAATAATTATAATTCTTCCCTAACTAAGTGGTTTTATCGCTAAATTTAACTAAAGCTAAGTACAACACAAATCTGAAATACGTGGACTATTATAACAACAAATACATCGTAAAAGACTATTTTGGTAGTATTCTGAACGAGAATTCCAGTTAAACTTTTTAGAAAATAATTTAAAGGAAAAATGTTAATTCAGTTAATATTAATTTTTGTATACTGCTCAGATTTATCTGGTCTTCTATCATATATTTTGGAAATTAGAGAATTATCTGAAGATTTTCATGTAAAAATTGGCATTGATAGTGGTGGTGGATCACTTAAAGTTTGTCTGAATGTGCTCCCTGAAAATGATCCCGAATATTTCAAGAAATATAAAAGTGCTGGAATTAAAAACTATTCATAATTGGCTTAGGACCAAAGTTGTCTGAATCTTATGTTAACATTAAAAGCCTCTTTGAGACGTTAGATCTGCAGTCCATTTGTGGAATTTGTTCCTATACTTTTGCCGCTGACTTTAAGCTTATTATGATTCTCCTTGGTCTTCAGTCAAATTCATCCACTCACACTTGCCCATGGTATGATGTAAATGTAAAGGAAATGGAAATTAAAGGGTCATTCAGAACTATAAAAAGTATTACAGAAACTACAAATTTATGGCAACAATCTGGAAGAAATATAACAAAAGCCAAAGATTTTAGTAAGCGTTTTTGTTTGAAATATTTTTTTTGTATTTTTAAACTGTTGTTTAATGAACTATATGAAAAAAGGGCAATTATTATTTAGAAAACTGTATAAACATACCTTTAATCATTGGCGACGAAGAAACACCTGTCTTAAAGAATATTCCCCCTCCTGAGCTTCACCTTTTGTTAGGTGTGGTTCAAAAACTATTTGATTGTCTTGAATTGGAGAATACCAATGTTGCAACAGAATGGATAAAAAAAAGCGGGATTGAAACTAGATCATTATGGAAAATGTAACGGAAATAACGCCAGACAACTTTTAAAGAAAGTGGATATTTTGAAGACGATATCGCCCGGTAGAGAATCCTATTCAAAGTTTTGACAAGCAAAAACCTAAACATCTTTTTTTTAGGAAATAAATATATTGCAGTGTTTTCTGCACTCAATCAAGTAGTTTCGAGTTGTTTTGGTCAAGCACTAAACAAACATTTTGAACATGACATCGAACAATTTAGATTGGAAATACTAAACTTAGGTATTAAGATAACCCCAAAGATTCATGCAATTCTGCAGCACGTGCGTGAGTTTATACAAGCAAATCATAGAGCTCTAGGATTTTACTCGAAACAAGCATCTGAGCAGGTTCATTTTTCCTTTAAATTATTTTCTAAAAAGTTTAACTTGAATCCTCGTTCAGAATGCTACCAAAATAGTCTTTTACGATGTATTTGTTGTTAATAGTCCACGTAATTTAAGATTTGTGTTGTACTTAGCTTTAGTTAAAGTTAGCGATAAAACCACTTAGTTTAGGAAAGAAATATAATTATTCTAAATTATTAGTTAACATTTTTATGCAAAATAAAACGTATAGCTGTAATATGGTTTTTTTGACAAATTATTTCTCAGTTTTTGGTCTCAAAATTCAAAGTCACGGTACGTCACTGGATCTATGGAAATGATTTAGTTGTTCGATGATTTTTGAAAGAACGCATTATGGCCATTAAAAAATTACTAATTTTACAATTTATATATTTTTTATTTTGAGTCATATAAAAACCGAACAGTGCTCTTAGTGGGACACTGCCAGTAATCTGAGGTTAATACAGGGTTGAAAAAAAAACATCTGGTTGAAATAAACTCATTTAATATCACAGTACGTTCAAAAAGAATCTAAACTACACAGTAGCGTATACACATCCACATACAAAAAATCTAGCGTATGTTTTCAAAATATATATAAATAATAAATACAGTTTAATCCGACGGATAAAAAAACAACGTTTAAAAGAAATTATCTTGAAAGGCATGCCTCTTAAAACTAGTATAGTCTATAAAATGAATAACTTTGAATTTTGACCGATATTTTTTACCAACATGGCAAATATAAAATCCCTCTAGCAAAAAAGTTACTGATATTCTTTAAATTGAATGCCTGAACGAATCAGATAGGTAACTCTTTTTACTTTCGTGAAATAGAAAAGGAAAATAATAAAACAAGTGACAGTTCTTCCTCTTCTTGCAATAATCAACACGAAATGTCATAATTGTCAAAAGTAAAATGTCATCAGCTTTTGACATTTCTAAATATCAGACCAATGCCGTCTCTAATACAACAGCCCCGGAGCGAGATTTATGACGTCACGCTAGTTAGATACGATGGATTAATAAATATGTTGTAGAATATGTATATTTTTTTGGTTAAAAAAAACGTTTCGGCTAACATTATAGCCTGTATATTAATTTATGTATATAAAGAATTAACTGTATATTATGTACTAGTTGATGCCTAGTGCATCCGCCACGACATTAGGAAAAAAATACTTTTTATTTTTTTTTAATTAAATGAAAAACAAAAAATCCGCCGACGACAGTTTTTACAAGAGCTAATTAGCTATCTTTTAGTAAAAAAAGCAACTTTCTAGAGCAAGTCGTTACTTCTGTAGAGACGACACAGATAAACATTAGCATTTTATATATGTAGATATTTCATGTAAACTATATCATTTTTAAAATACAAACCAAAAATAGGAGGAATGATTATGTTTTCCATGTATTCTACAACATATTTATTAATCCGTAGTATCTAACTAGCGTGACGTAATAAATTTGGCTCCGAGGCTGTTCTATTAGAGACGGCATAGAAAAGCCCGCGGGAACTGCCAAATTCAAAGTTATTCGTTTCACAGACTATATTATACATCTGCAATGGCCGTTCTATAATAATAGATATATTATTTCTCAAAAAATATATAACAAAAAACAATAATTATAACAGCGTATATGTTTATCTTTTTGATGAAAATGTTTCAACAATACTATAAAAACTTTTTTAAGGCCATTTTAAAAGAACTTAATCTATAGCCTATCTATGCGAGAAAATATATGTTTTTGACAGAAAGAATAAAAAAATGACAGACAATGCCTGTCACATTCATTATATTTTTTAATTGGGCAGACTATAGTTTCATAAAAAAAAACAGATGTCATGAAGACCTCTGAAATGGCAGTCAATGATAATTTATATTGGGCTCATCCAGAAATGTAAGTAATTTATTAAAAGTTGTAATAGAAAAATCTATCAAAACTTAATATTTATTTCAAAAAATATATAAAGGTTAGCCCTACAGAAATTATCATAGATTTTCATATCACCGGTTAATATGACGCTGTTTTTTTTTCGATCGTCTGGTACATTATTGGAAAAATTAGAATTAAACCACTGACTTGGCATGAAAGTTTCTCAAAAATATACAGTGTGGTTTGCACTTTTATTTGTAGCAAGACTGAAGAGTCAAAATAGGAAAGCTTATTTTAAGAATACTTATTTTGGCAGTAAATATTAGACAGGAAGTTATTATTTTTGTTAGTTTTATGCTAGCTAAAAATCCAGCACTGGTTGTTTGTAGACTGTTATACAATATGATCGAAAAAAAATGGCATCAGCGATGGCTATGAAATGAAGATCGCTGTCATTTTATATGTAAAATTATATGGGTAATGTCATTGATGTTCATTTCCAAACCAACTGGACGCCGATTTTTTTCGATCATACAGCATTGTTATTAAATATGGGTAGCCTACTACAGGGTCAGTCTTAAATAAGTGCAAATATTTTTAGGTGCAATATATTTCAACCCCAGAAACGAAGATTTTTTTTTTATTTTTAGTTAAAAAATATATATCTTGATAATATGGCAACATAGGTAGATTAAATTTACCATAAGAAAACCAGTGGTTCTCAAAATTTAACCAAAAAATATTTTTTTTTATTTTCAAAGTAAAATAACTCCGTTATTTTGGACTTAATTGAAAAACGGTAAAGAGAAAATATGTTTCTTTTATCGAGATCTACCAGCCCTGAAAACATTTGAACTTATTTAAGACTCGCCCTGTATAACAAAAAAATATTAACTTTTTTTCCATAAAATTTAAAATTCTCAACAACAGTAAAACATTATAAAAATTGTCGTTTTTCGTTTCAAGCCTTTCAATTTTCATTGATTTTGGTACTTCCATACCCTTGAAAGAATCAATATTTTTGCTCCAAACGAATAAGTACAAGAAAAAACAAGATTGTGTGTTAGAAACCTGTTCAAACCAGATCATTTGTTGGTTTTTCTGGTTGTTTTTTCCTCAGCAACTCATCCAATTGATCTTGGTTGTAAAAAACTACGAAATCTTGAGGCGACACTCCTTCGAAAACTGCACTAACTGAAGGTTTCAAGTTGTAGAACAAGAGCGGTTGGTCTCTGGCAGCAAAATCTTTGGTTAAACTCTCTACCACTGTAGCTGCTGTGAAGTCTGCGCCGTAGATGTGTGAGCAGTCGATCACCACGGGGATTCCCTGACGAATTGAGTGCTTGGTCACTAGGTTCCTGACGTAGTCAGTTGAAGGGAAGATCAGGCAACGGTCTGGGGTTAGTATAAGGTACTCTGTACCTTCATGAGACTGGAAAAAAGATTAAAAATGAATTTTATCTCCTAGATGTTGACTAATAAAATACACACTGGAAAAATCTAGGGATATCATTTTATTAAAGTTAAAAATAATTGTTTTTTAATAAACAACCACATATTCGTAGGCCGATTCTTTCTACTTCGATTGAAACGAAGTAGTCACACTAGTTATTTCTAAATTTGGGATATTTGCAGAAGTGTTTGTGCATTTTTTGTCAAATGTATAAAAAGCACCTAGCGTCATTGTTCGAATTTAACCTGTACTGGCTATGTTTTTATGATAACTGACCAGAATTCATTCAAATAACTCTGTTTAGTATTAAACGACATTATGGAGCGTAGACATCTTAACAGACGAAATGCTAAGGGCCATGGGTATGCTCGAAGCTGGAATGCGCCAAATCGACGTAGCTAGAGCATTAAATACAACGCAAAGTGTAATATCGCGATTAAGTGCACGCTACCGTGAAAGTGGTGATGTTGCTGAAAGGCACAGAGGGCGACATCGCATTACTATCCCTCAGCAAGATAATTTTTTACAATTAAATGCTCGACGCCGACCGACTCTTACAGCACCAGAGCTTAGTTTAATTCTCCAGGAAACACATAATGTAACCGTTAGTCCTGACACTGTTCGCAATAGATTAAGATAGGTCAACTTAAGAAGCAGACGCCCCTGGAGAGCTCAACCCTTAACGAGAGGAAATCGATAGATACGATAGTTCTGCTCAAGATCATGTTCAGTGGTCGAATGAACAATGGGCCAATGTTCTCTTCACCCTTTGCAATTCATCCGGATTCGAGAAGGCTTAGGGTATGGAGAGAACAGGGAAATCTTATTCGGTTGGATCATGTTCAGGAAGTGCACCCTTATCAAGGTGGAACAGTTATGGTCTGGGGAGGAGTCCAGTTAGACCGAAAAACCGATCTCGGAAGGTTTCTAACAGGAATCACATATCGTGATTTAATTCTTGAGCCTGTCGTGTTACCATATGCCAATGATTTTGGGAGAAACTTCATTCTCATGCATGACAATGCACGGCCTCATACAGCCAGAGTGGTAAGTGAGTTTGTCAATGCTCATCAATTAAACATCTTACCCTGGCCGGCACAATCTCCTGACCTCAACCCCATCGAGCACGTATGGGACGTGGTCCAAAGAAGAATTTTGAGAATGGGTATGCCTCGTGAAACTCGTAGGGATCTGGTTCGGGCCGTGAGTGCAGCGTGGCAGGCTGTACCTCAAGAAGAGATCGACAACCTGATCAAGAACATGGAGAGACGATGTAGGGCTGTAACGAACAGTAGAGAGGCCATACCCTTTATTAAGTAAAAATGGTTTTATCTTTTTTTTTAATTCACAGTTTAGAATAAAAAAAGTGTGTATTTTTTGGAGTTCAATAAAAATCAAGGTAAATTTGAAAAATTCGGTAAATTTCGCATTTTTATTTCCAATACGTCCTGTAAACTATTTGTTTATTTTAATTTTATTATATCAGAAATGCAAAAATAAAATTACTGACGATGGCTGGATAAAATTGTAATATCCCTAGACTTTTCCGGTGTGTGTATTAAATTTTGATTTCTATCATGTTATAAAAGGTAGACTAATCAATATATATTCGATACCAATTAAACTTTTAGTTACGTAATCGAGGGTGCGATTTTTAAATTCATTGTTGCCAACCATGGACATACTCGGCGCCGGGCTGACTAAGTGGAATTTAAATTTTCCGCTGGGGATTCAGGTGGTAGCTCTGCTGTAAAAGATGTCAAGTTGCCACATTTATTTATTTATTTCCTGACATTGTCATCCGTTTTGACACTTTAGTTTTGTATTACGAGTTTTTGACACAGATGGACAGCACAAATGAATTGTGCTGTGATACTTTAAGCTTAAAAAAATTACTAGCAGACCTTGCAGTCGAACATTGTTCTTTTTAGAACCTCTTTTAGTGCGAAGTGTACAAGATAGCTTAATAGCCGTAAAAACTCATTTTTATTAGAATATTTTGAACGGGAAAGCGGTAGTAATGTCTCTTTATGCCCCTTAAGTGCTGTTAAGGAGGTCAGTTTTGTTGGTGTAAATAATAACTTTTTATATATTTATAAATTAATTTATTTTTCTTTCCTAAAATATTTTGATTAAAAGAAAATATGTAAAAGTGGGCAACGCTGTGCCGGTCAAGCTTAATCACGTTACTAAAAGTTTATTTGATTTGAACTATACATAAGTGACTGTTAACAGACTTGAAATGATTTAGGGTACTGTACATACAGTCTGTACACAACTGTCAAAAAAAATACCTTAGGGTATTCTTTCGTTGGACAAACTATAGTAATATATAAACGAAAAAACACACTTACTGTTAATTTCTCTACTGATATTTTTGGTCTTGCCGCGTGGTACAGGATGAATAACAGGTTCAAACCGATCCCAACTAGGATACCAATCTCCAAAGGCAGGACCAGACAAGCTATGAAGGTAGCCAATCCGAGAAACAGGTCGCTCTCTGTAAATAAACCACATTTAAAATCATTTATACTTAGTAAGTGGCCATTTTTATAAAGATATTTCCTACTTTAGCATAAAAAATAACTGTGGACAAGAGTTTCGTTGACTATGTTAGGATGATCAGCTAGATTATTAATACCACAGATTAGGTATACTATATGTATACAGATAAAAATCTTATCCCTAATTCGTGGTACGAAAATTGTTTTTTATGACGATGTGCAAACGAGTAAAATTTCCTATGCGCAAAAATTAACTCGCGTAAAATAACAACAAACAGCGCAATAGAGAAATATCGCTAAACCGAATAGCGTGCATGGACGTTAATAAGGCCAGGTGTTATTTCCTTTACGTGAGGCGGTATTAACTCTCTTCATTTATAGTTATCGGATCGGAAAGAATTCTGGTCGCGTCGCGTCCGCTGTTTAAACTTAACCTAACTTTGAATTTAAAACTTTGAAATTGTTTTGTTTACTAGGTATTTTAAAACTAAAGGGCTAAAGTGCTTATTTCCAGTGCTTTATCGTTCAACGTCTGCCAGTGGGTTTAGGGCAACAAGCAACAAATTCTCTTAGAAGGGCTATCGTTATCTGCTGTAAACCTAAGCCTCTTTATAGGTTCTTTAATATTGGAAGAGGTGGAATCCATATTTTGGGCCATATTTATTTAATTAAAACTAATCCCAGTTAAATATCAAATTACGTAATAAAACTAAAGTAATAAATCAAAACAATTCAAACACAAACATAACCTAAAATAAAAGATCTCGCCGGCCGGCCCCGGTTGTCAAATACCCGCACATGCCCATTTAAGCAATTTTTAAACGTTATTTAGAAATAGCGCTTGGTGTAATTGATCCGCAAATTACGTTAGGTGGTAGCGTTATTAGCGGGTGTTGCGTTAAAAATTGACTCGCGCATATCGTAACCATGATAAGGTACGCGTAAATACTGCATGACGCTATTCGGTTTTCCGATATCTCTCTAATAACTGTGCCGGTCAGGCGCTGTGCACAATTTTAGAGGCTATAAGTGAGCGTGCTATGTGCGCAAACTAGTAACCTAACTAGTGCCCTATTCCGAAAATTGGAACCACGAAAAACAATCAAGAAAAAACAAAGTTTATAATCTGTATAATCTGTGTTAATACTAAACTAATATCTAGAAATTGAGTTTTTATACAAGCGTTCGGTTGATACTGATCAACACTTACTTTTAGATCTCCACATAGGCTTAACCACTTTAACTTCAACCATAAAAATGACAGCAGCAATGATAATAGCTGCCAGAGATGACTTGGGGATGTACTGGAAGTAGGGCGTGAAGTATAGAAGAGCCAGAATGACCAAGAGACCAGTGTAGAGTCCTCCCAGTGGTGTCCGTACGCCACTGGCATTGTTTACAGCGCTTCTGGCTAAGGCACCGCCTCCAGGGAACGCTTGGACGAAAGAGTTGGCAACGTTGGCCAGACCGATTGCTAGCAGTTCCTGTGTGGCATCCACTGCTTTTCCATTAGCTGAAATAAATATAAAAATAAACATGTAAATCAGTACAGCGTACTTCAATAAGGGCACCTCCGCACTTGAAATTTCAAATTTAAGGCCTCTCGAGAAAAAAAAACAGTTATTTAGGTATGCAGCCTTATATTGACATTGATTTCATAGCCCCAAAGATATTTAAACTATGTTTTAATATCTTTGGATAGTCCTTTGAATGAAAATATTAAGGAAGAAGTATATCAAAAATCTTAAATCGGCCTAAATTCTGGTTTATCAGTGCCGTTCTAATTATATTCAAAATGTGTAAAAAATGATGTAGGGTAGAGTAAACAATTTGTTGTTTTATTTTACGTTGCCAATAAATGTTAGTAGTTATTAAAATTATTATAAAAATATACAATTCTAATAAAAATACATAAGTTATAATAATTATTTATTAACTCAAACATCCGATACGCTACTGAAGCAGGTAAGTCAAATTGACGTATCTAAATTCTTTGACTTCTGATCTTTGACATGTAGTAAATAAAAGCAAAAATGCTAATTAGTTAATTTTAAGTGAATTTCATAAATGATCGGTTTACTACACGTATGTATATTATACCGGGTGTTGCATCGTCGGACGGGACACAGGAAATCCCATGTAAATTTAGTGGGGTCAATTATTGACTTCCCTAATTATTTTAGAGAATAATTCTATTTAGGTTTATTGAAGAGCACTCAAACCCACATTCAAAAGAATAACTTTAAATATTTTTGATTAGCTCGTTTACGAGTTATCGCCGATTTCTTTTTAAATATTTCTCCTTTCTTATGGCCCTGTATTTACTTGAGCACCAGTCAAGGTAAAAGATAACTGTCAAATTAAGTTGTCATTTCAGAAATTTAGCTATTTAGTGCTTTATTATTATTGAAAACTCATTCCTACATCGGAAATCTTAAAGATGTATTTATAAATACAAATTAATATGAATTAAAGTAAAATAAAGTAATCAATTACAAGGTTAATTATAGTATTATTACAATATTCAATAACTTAATAATTTAGGTAGTATTAAATTGTTAGAACTTTAGGATTTAAGAAGATGTTCAAATATTCCTCCATCGACTGCTAGACAATAACCCAGGCGATCATAAAATTCTCTTCTTACATTCGCTAGTTGGTAAACTGAAATTCTATTGCATTCGGCAGAAATAGCATTTTTTAACTCGTCTATATTTGGGTATTGTTTATCCTTGTATATCCTGTTTTTTAAATGGCCCCAGAGAAAGAAATCATTTGGCGAAATATCAGGAGACCTTGCTGGCCAATTTACTGTATGATTTAGGCCAATAACGTTTCCGTTAAAACGATTGTCTAAATATTCCCGAACAGCCAGGGTACTATGTGCCGGGCAGCCATCCATTTGGTACCAAACTTCCTGATTTTCCCTAGCGGCATCTTGTAAAGCAGGTAAAGTATGATTTTCGAGTAGTTCCAAATAATATTCTGCATTTAAATTTCGCGTAAGAAATAATGGCCCGATAATATTGTGTCCGAATATCTCTCTCCCAACCCAAACATTTACTTTCTGTGGATATTGCGTCCTTGTTTCGACAAACCTGTGTTAGTTTTCTTTGTTCCAATATCGATAATTTTGAACATTGGGTTCATTATTTAAGGTAAACGTGCATTCGTCAGTGAAACATATGTTTTTTAAAAATGCCCTATCCGTGTTTGCTCTTTCGATCATATCAAAACAAAACGCCTGCCGCCGCATTTCGTCCCCATCTCGTACCTCTTGATGCTTTTCATATTTGAAGGAATAGTATTTATGTCGTTTCAAAATTCGAAACGCTGCAGTGTGGTCTATTCCTATTTCATCCTCAAGTTTCCTTGTGCTGATCTTTCCATCTATCCAAAGGGATAGCCCAAAAAAAGGTATTTTTGGGCATCGACATCAGTTTTTCTAAATTTTTTTTACCTCAATTTTTGTAATTTTCTATCCTGCTTTTTACTATTATACTTACCGAATGCTTTGCAAATGGCGATGGTTTCTAATAAACTGATCAGCGGCGTTACTATTATGCCAGTTCCCAGATCAGAAACCATATCCAGGAAAGAGTAATAAATTTCTGTACCGTTGACGCTCTGGGTGAACCCAAAAGGAGGCAGCTGGAAGTTGGGTAATCCACTAGGAACTGCACCGATTAGTTGAAATGGAGAATCACCTGAAAAAACAAGAAAAATATTATGTAAAATGATAAAAAAATACAGAAAAAATACAACATTTTTAACATTGTTTTTTTTTTGAGAAAAAAGCTCAAAGAAGTGTTTTTCTAGGGTTGAAAAGATACTCTTTTCTATTTTTTAATGAACGTTTATTGCCAGTTGGCCTTAAGAGTCCATTTCACTAATAGTCCGAAAAGACGAATAGAAAGATATATAGACTCCTAAGAAGCTAATTTATTTTAATATTGAGTAAAAATTATTTTCGTAATTTTCAAAATAAACCCAATAATGTAATTTATACTCGATTCACCCTGTAATTATAACACACAGACAAAAATTATAATTTAATTTTTATAAAAAACTTAATTTATAAATAATGTATTTTAGTTTATGATATAATCCATTAAATTGACCTGATGCAAAAGATACTAAAGATTAAGGCATACTAGAACCAGTTTTTTAATCACTACATAATCGCATTCGAACTAAACCAAATCATTTTTAGTTTTATCTAAATGCCTGGATCGATTAAAATCTGATTTTATCGTTAATTGTTTCAAAAATTAATTTGAAATTTGTGCGACGCGACTGAAATGTTATTAGTAAACGAAAATCACAACAATAATGTTGATTAAATAACGCCATTATTATTTTTTCTTGTTAAACCGTCTGATTTATTGTTAAGTAACAATAGTTAATTACTGAAATCAAATGGAAAATAGAAAATTCGGTGGGAAAATCATTTTGAATGGTTTAGGTTGTTGATTTACGTAACAGGGACGTCATTTTTATTATTAGAATTTTTTGGATTAGTACTTAATACAGTGTGGTTCCTAAATATGTGCGAATCTCTTATGAAGTTCTAAAAATCACAAAAGTTTTTTATAGTAATATAATTTTTTTTGATAGATGTTACTACTTTGCTCTTGTAAATTTGTTCTTGTAAACTTAATCTTATACCTATGTTGTCATATTAACAAGAAATTATGTTTTTTAACTAAAAACTAAAAAAATTCCCGAAGTTTTCGATTGTTTTTTCGCGAAAAAAAAAACCTGATAGGCGTGTTTCTGGGGTTGAACTATACTACCATAAAATACTTGTACTTATTTCTGGGACACCCTGTATATTACAGTCAGTATGTCCCCGGATTGTCTTTACAAGAGGAAAAACTTTTTAATTATTGACTTTTTGAAAGAAATGCGTTCTTCATAAGAATTTTTGTTGTTGTAAATGGCGTTTATAATTTTCTAAATATCCATACCATTTTAGAAAAAATAAAAAAAAACATAAAAATGTAGTTTTTAAATGGAATTTTTCCCCCAAAAAAAATCCTAAAAAAACTAAAAGTCCTAAACATTAAAACGCTATGGTAATATAATTTCGATTTCATTTTTTGATAGATCGTTATAATTCATTTTGATTAACGTCATATTTTTTGATGTAAAAGTATCACATTTTCCGATAACTATTATCACCCTTTCCGTAGCATTGAACAGCAAAAAATATAACTTTATTTAAAATTCTTCAATAATAAACAATCAAAAAATTATCACGAAATTATATTACCATAGAAAGGCGTTTTTTTTTTACTAGTTCAAAAATTCAACTACATTTTCATGTTTTTTTTTGATTTTTCTCTAAAACGGTATGGAAATTTGGAAAAGTATAAACAAGAATTACCATTTTAGAACAAGCAAAAATTTTTATGAAGACAATCCGCGGACATACTGTAGATATAAATATGTTATTCATCGGCAGTGCCGTTTTTACGTAGGGACCCGACGCGCGACGGGCCCCAACCTAAAAATTAAGGGCCCCCTCGAGGGCCCCAGCTTCAAAAAGGTATCAAAAACGATAACATCATTTTTTTAAAGCTTATAATAATACATTTAAATTGAAAAACGAATGCAATTTGACGTAATAAAACAATCCCCCAGCGAATGTTTACATTTAATGGCAATTTATGATGACAAAGTGATGGGAATACCGGTTCCACATATAAGCTGCGATACTTTCGCGACCGTTCCAGGTAAATACCGCGATTTTGTGAGGGGCCCCTTACAAAATCGCGGTATACTCCTATATATGTCCAAGAATAAATAATAATTATTCGAATATAAAAAATAATAATAAAATTATATAAGAGTTTCTTGCCTTGAACTGCTAATATAGAAATTAATTCCACGCTGTGTTCGACATAATGTGGATCAACCTGCTCTCACTACCGGTTTCGGGGCCCTACCCCATCATCAGGTGAGCTTCGGTCGTTTCCACAATATGTCGAGCACAGCGCAGAGTATATAACCACGACTTGTCGTAAAGTAGCGGTAAGATATTAAGTCCCGCATCGCGAGATAGCGGCCTGCGTGCAATGGTAGTACTTTCGTACCACCGAGGCACAACTATCGATAGTAAATAAAGGCTTTTTTCGGCTAGCCCAAATTATATAATGGAAAATAAATTTCTTGCAGTTTTTAGGTATATAATAAAATTATATAAGAGTTTCTTGCCTTGAACTGCTAATATAGAAATTAATTCCAATTGTGGAAACGACCCAAGCTCACCTGATGATGGGGTAGGACCATATAGTGCTGTCAGGAACTATAATGCTGTCAAAGCCTTAAAAAATAATTATGATGACATTATGAAAATGTTCAAAAGTTTCAGCGAAAATGAGGTTGAGAAAGTTGATTTCCGGAAAGAGGCACGAAATTTATTCAATAAAATGGCGAAACTCGAGACTGCAATTTTGATTATCTTTTGGGAAGAAGTTTTGGAGAGATTTCATTTAGTTAATAAAAAAATACAGAGCCCTGGTTTAGACATTTGTGAAGGCAACAAGTTAATTGTTTCTTTAAAAGACTTTGTGAGCAACATACGACATCAATCAGATCAAATGTTACAGGAATACGACGAAAAAGCTAAAAAATTAAGTACTAGTGTAATAATAGACTACAATTACATAAACAAGAGACGCATTATCCCAAAATTTTCAGATAAGTCTACAGGTGAATTCTCAGTATACGGCGCAGAAAGATTTAAAGAGACACGTTAAAAGTTGCGTTGGATAAGCTGATTATGGATTTAAATAAAAGGAGACAAGTCTATGAGACATATAGCAAAAAATTCAAATTTTTAATGGATTTGCAAGACAAAAATATCGAAAACATAGATTTGGAAATTGCACGTCATATTATTGATTACTATCCCGATGACGTAGACGAGCATTTAGTGAATGAGTGCATTCAATTAAAATCGTACTTACTCCAATCTATGTCTGAGTTTACACCTCTTGCAGTGACATTTTTATGCTCATGTATGAAAATAAACTTATTAACATGTTCCCTAACTGCTATACCATTTTAAAGATTTTTTTAACATTGCCAATCACTAGCTGTGAAGCAGAACGCTCCTTCTCCAAGATGTCCTATGTAGAAAATAAATATAGGACAACAATGTCGAACCATCGACTAAATAATTTATCACTTCTTTCCATAAATTGTGATCTAACAAAAGACCATCAAAAGACTTGGAATGTGATGACCAAATAACTGTCAATTTCTGTGACTACAACCTATCAATTTCTTTTACTAATTCATAATAAGTAAATAAATAAAATTGTTTTATTGTTTTTTTTATATTCTTATTAAATATCACTATTTCGGTTTCTCTCTCACCCAAAGTTTGCCTGGAAGAGATTGCTACCACAGCAATAAGGTCGCCTTTTGTACAACTAATACTTGCGTAGATTTAAGTAACATTTATGTTACTTAAATCCACATATCACAAATACCGAAGTCTACAGCAGAATAGGCAGAAAAAGAGAATTGCTCAATATAATAAAAATAAGAAAAACATCATACTTAGGGCATATATTGAGAAATGAAAAATACCACGTCTTACAATTGATAGTTAAGGGTAAGATTGAAGGAAAGAGAGGTCTCGGCAGGAAGAAACTATCTTGGTTGAGAAACATCAGAAACTGGACTCACCTAATTTTGAAGAACTTATAAAGAAAGCCGAGAATCGTGAAGATTTTGCCAATGTGATCGCCAACCTCCACGAAAGAGACGGCACGTAAAGAAGAAGAATAATAATATATCATTATAGAAACAGTTTTTTGATATGGCTATTAGTTGAGTACTTATGTAGGCCCCTAAGTAGTTTCAGCCCAGGGCCCCACAAATTCACGATCCGCCCCTGGCTGTAAACCTAAGCCTCTTAGGAAGAGGTGGAATCTATATTTTGGGCCATATTTATTTAATTAAAACTAATCCCAGCTACTTAAATATCAAATTACCTAATAAAACTAAAGCAATAATTCAAAACAATTCAAACATAACCTAAAATAAAAGATCTCGCCGGCCGGCCGGCCGTTGTCAAATACCCTCACATGCGCATTTAAGTAATTTTTAAACGTTATTTAGAAATAGCGCTTGGTGTAATTGATCCGCAAATTACGTCAGGCGGTAACGTTATTAGCGGGTGTTGCGTTAAAAATTGACTCGCGCATATCGTAACCATGATAAGGTACGCGTAAATACTGCATGACGCTATTCGGTTTTCCGATATCTCTCTAATAACTGTGCCGGTCAGGCGCTGTGCACAATTTTACAGGACTTAAGCGGGCGTACTATGTGCGCAAATTAGTAACCTAACTAATGCCCGATTCCGAAAATTGGAACCACGAAAAACAATAAAGAGAAAACAAAGTTTATAATCTGTATAATCTGTGCTACTGATTGGGATTAACGTCATATTTTTGCTGTTGTTAAAGTACGACATTTTTCGATAACTCTTATCCCCCTTTCCGTAACATTGAACTAAATAAATTTTGAAAAAATAAGTGTAGATCATTTAAAAAACCTTTTCAGTGCTCAGTGGGAATATACGAAAAAAAGTTATGCTGCAAATGAGAAAACTTTCTTACCATTTTGTTGAAAGGAATATCCTATGAATCCACACACTATCACAACTATAGCATTTCTGGCAGTGGAAAATAACCATAAGAATTTGTTGGCAAAGAGTTGTAGTTTTGTTTCTTCAACTCCACCTTTGTTTGATCCAATTTTCAGTTGACCAATAATCTAAAACAATAAATAACATAATACAGGGTGCGACTCAAAACTGGCTCACCTCTGTAACTTTTTTATTTTTTCAGATAAAAAAACGAGATTTGGTTGTATATGACATAAATTATAGGATTGATGACGTATGAATATGTCACATATCACATATCAACTTTTGACATTTTCTCTTAAAAAAATCGGATTTTAAATTTCAATCTAGCTAGGCTGTGTTTAAAACACTAATTTTTAATCAAGAATAAGTCTTGGAAAAAAAGATTTGATCGTCTATTATTTTTCGTGTCTTGTTCTGGCCGGTTAAAAGATGCCCCAATCGTATTTTTAATCATATATCAATTTTTTCAAGTGGAACGAGGGTGGCTCATTAGCATATATTTGGAAAAAGCATTTTTTACGAATAATTTGGTACAACACATTTGTTATTTCGAGTAAAATTGTCGTTATGAACCGCATATTACAATTTACAGTTGTTCGACAGAAATTACCACTCATTATCATGTGAAAGGCTACTATGACACCGTTTTTTTTTCGATGGTATGGTACTTACTCTCATAATTAGCAAGACTGCGATACAGCAAATCCCCAGAACCGTATCCCAAGCGTTTGTCTCGTGGATGTTCCTGAAAATGTTGCCCCACATCTCTGTGAACACTGAGCCAGAAGCTGTCACTCCCAAAATGTCTCTCACTTGTGAAGTGAGGATGATCAGTGCTACTGCTGACGTGAATCCGGACGATACAGGGCCTGATATAAAGTCAACCAGGAATCCTGAAATATGAAGAAATAATTGATTAGATTGGTTATTAAGAGTAGTAGAATTTTTAGGGTTTTTTGGGACACTCTGTAGAGTAAGCAATCGATAATGGAAAATATTTTGTTTTATCAAATTGTAGCTTGATTTTTTCGGAATATTTTTCTTTTTTATTCACTTTGATATCTGTATTATTAGAGAAAATACAGGGTTTTTAAAGAAACTTCTTAAAAACCTCTTGTAAAAACTATCTAAAATACATTTTTTCGTAGATTTTTTTTGTGTTTACGGTTACTACTTATTAGTAACGGAAGATATAACAGTTTTTTTCTAAATAAATCCTAATTTTGACCGTGAAACAACAACAAAAAATGAAAATACTGTTGAAGTAAAATGAAAAAGAAAAAGAAAAAAAATAATTATATGAAAAACCGTATTGTCGAATTTTGGAAACTGAAATGAATCGATAAAAATTGTGGTTCAAGGAGGTGCATGTCGAAATTTCACTTTCAGGAAGTATGAATGATGAGGACAAGGTGAGTCTATGATGTAACCGAAGAATTTCGTCGTGATTTGTAATTATATTTTGATCTGAATTGTAGGTGAAGACGGTAAAGATATTTTGATTCATTTACAATTTTTTTAATATTTACCTTTGGCATTTTTTTATATGATTTCAATAAACTTTGTTGTTTTTTTATAAGTGATTTTTTACCCGAATTTTACCTAAACTCCACGGGACTTACCTAGACCAAAAATACCCATGAGCACTTGGACGACTCCCGTGAGGAAACACAGCAACAGCGCGTGCTCAGTACTCACGCCCCTCACTGCCTGGTACGTGAGTAGTGAGGCAATAGCTGTGGGACCCATGGGAACATCCTTACAACCTCCGAAGAATATATACACTATACAACCAAGAAAGGAACCATAGAGACCATATTGTGTGGGAACCCCAGCTATACCACTGGAAAAATGATACAAAAACACTGTAATAACCGAAAAAATACACTCTGTATTACAAAATTAGAGCCATACAACTATGTATTGCAGGTAGCCATGATTGTATTATTCAGACCCTTATTTTTATCTGCAGAATATGCTGCCGAAGTACACAATCAGAACCACCCTGCATATCCTATACAAATTTTAATGACCCAATTGCGTGGAACACCCTGTATATTTACCTGTACGCTAAGGCTTGCGGTATAACCATCAGACCGACCGTTATACCTGCTAACAGGTCCCCTATGGCACACTGTCTGTCATATTTTGGCAGCCACGTGAGTATGGGCAGCCTTTTGTACAGGGTCTTCTTCGTACACTTGTTCGCTATCTTTTGCTTCAGCCATGGCATACACGACTTCCATTTGCTGTCAGACGAGTAGTTTTCATTGATAACTGTAAATAAAAAAGGCACTTTTTAGATATAACGTATGTAAATAATTTATACCGAGGTTGTCATTTTTATTTTGCATATAGAAACATAGTAAGCGCCTCTGTTAACATAATATATCAAATGTAAAAATTACCTGTCATATTTTTTTCACGTTTAAAGCTTGATTTTCATGCATCCGTTGTTCGACGATACGATGATAGGATATTAATTTTATTGCTTGAATTTAAAGGCTTCGATTGTTTAGAAAATTACGCAGTTTTTAAATTTATGGCATTTTCATGCCTCCGTTCATTGGATGTACGATTTGTTTGTGATTGGTGTCATTTTATATTTTCATTTCCATAACGATTTCTCTGTTTTACTTATAGTCGGAAGAGGTAGCAACGTTTTCGAGGGAGAATTTTAAGAAAGCTGGGGTGGAACTCTGTAACGAAATAGCGATCGGTAGCGATGAAGAATACTATGCCGTTTAGTTTGTACGGCCAAGGTCAGTATTCTCTATCGCTCCTGATCGCTAATTAGTTACAGAGTTCCAGCCCTGGTTCTTTAATATATCTTTTGCTATGCTTTTCTAAACAGAATGCGGACCGTCTGGCTGCTGGTAGACGTTCCGTTCACTACTGTGCATCATATCTGCGTTCAACATCTGTTCACTAATGCGCATCACAAATTCGCCCTGTACTTCAGGAACTAAGGAAGGAGACTAGAACCAACCTATTTGTAGCATATTTAGTTTCATAAAAAAGTAGCAAACACTGAAAAAAAAGGATCTCTCAGTCGAAATGAATATGACTTTGACCCAAAAGATTGGCGCTTTTCAATAGGGCCAAGAACGACGTTTCTTTGCCCAAAGCATTAACTATCTTTTCATAAGCTTTAAAAAATTACTTTAGAGAATAGAAGAATCTATCTGTCCAAAGTATTTCACTCTTGACCCAAAATGAATATGCAAAGAAGTTCTTGCTACAAATTCTTGATTGAAAAGGGACATTTCTTGATTAAAAAAACACGTTTCTTAAACCAATAGCGAATACCTTTGACTCAACGAAAATATATTTTGATATAAGAGAAGCCTATACAGTACGTCTGACCGTTCTGTAGCTACGGGGTATCCGTGAGAGGGGAAACGAAAATTCTCTCGATGTTTTTCGTAAAAAAATAGACTACGCGTCCCATCAATAAAAATTCGACAAATTTGCAAGTAGCCAATAAAATGAGTGGGCGGAGCTATTTGCGGTGACGTACTCGTCAAGTCGACGTATAAAATATATTGCTGTTTATTTAAATGTTTTTTGTCCGCATTCCTTTCATAGACACAGATCCAGCAGATGTACTGTACTTTAAATTTATTTCTAAAGAAGTTCGTGATTGTTTAGTTTTTATTTATTTTTTAAGATGATTCTTAAATGGGTATAAAAATTTTACGTTTTCAAACTTCAAAAAAGCCTTTAAAAAAACATATCAAAACATATCGTATTTATTGAATATTTTTGTTGTCATATTCATACACTTTTAATTTTTGTATAGTTCACCTGCGGCTGCTTGCGACGAATTTTATTTTATAATACTTTTCAGATGGAGTAAAATTGATAAGCAATGCCGATCTGGTTAATACTTGGCTTGATCATAAGGACAAGAATTCAAAATTATTTGTATTTCAAAAAATGTGTTCTTTATGAGATATTGATGAACCTTCCAGTTAAATGAGACACCCACTTGTGCCTGAAAAATCCCACTATGTTGGAGCGAAACGTCGCATAAAAAAAGTTTCCATCTTTCAATTTATTATAAAACCTCATACCCAAGAAAAGGAAAAAATAATATATGGATATGGTCTATTAAAGAGGTAACTATTAACATCCGAACCCCTCATACCAACAAAAAGAACAGTAACAACGCGAAAAAGTAACATATTAGAAAATGATGTACAGAAATATCTTATATATGTGAGGATACTTCATCTACCTGTGATTTTGATACTATAAATTTGGAAGATTCTGTCAGCAGTGGTTCTTCTGAAATATCTAAATATAACATTAATGATTCTTTTTCGTTAAAGAAAAACATTTTTATCTTATATTAGGCTTATATTGTAGGAATCATGTTCTAATGTTATTTCAATTCTTTTTTATCACAGGGATTTATTTAATACTTACACCGTTTTCATACTATAAATTATTATTTCCTTAGATGGAACACACCTCCAACGTTTTTATTATTTATAAGATTTTTTTTCATAAACGTGGGATTAAGAACATCATCATTTAGTACAATGAGAGTACTCATCATTTGTGTCAAATAAACCTAGTTTGAATAAATTGCCTACAATAAAAGAGAAGTTTTGCATTTTTGTCCTCTAGAGCCATATGTTAGAAACACTGTGCGCCGCGCCGTCGCGTCGGACCATCCTATCAAGGGATAACGGATGCATGAAAATCAAGCTTAAAGCTAAATTTTTAAAAAATTTAAACTAAATTTTTGAACTGAGTCAAATAAAAATGGAATTAAACCAAAAAAATGTTTCCGCAATATTTTTTTACAATTTTTGAAGACAGCTGACTCAACAAGAATGATTTTCTTGCAATGGCGAAATACCCGAAATTGCCGGAAGTAATTGCCGAGTTTCGAAAAACAAACCCTCAACGACGACATTGAGTTTTTAAAGCAAGGAAACATCGAATTGTTGAACCATCCTCCATACAGTCCCGACCTAAGTCCTAAACACTTTTTTACTTTTCCTTTAAAAAATTAAGAACGAACTGCTTGGTCATAGAGGTTCCAGACCCCAGAAGATGCAGTCAGTGCCTTCAAAAACGCAATTTTGAAGTACCAATAAGCAAGTGGAATAACTGCTTTCAGAATTGGTTCCAAAATATGCAAAACTGCATTTCACTTCGAGTAACAATAGTGTATTCTTTAAAATGGGACGTGCATATGGACGTTTTGTCGAAAAAATTGAGCTCTGCCTGTTTTGCATTAAGATCTGTTTCTAAGGAACTTAACTTATTGTCAGTGGCTAGAACTGTTTATTGTGCACTTTTTGATATGCCCTTCCATTCTGGGGTACGTGTTGTGCGACTCAATTTGACCGCATTTTCAGGCTATAGAAGAGAGCTGTTCGATATTCTTTGGAACTAAACAGCAGAACTCATTGCCAGGACTTTTTTAAAAAAATAAAAATATTAACTCTTCCTTCCTTATTTATATTTGAATCCGTTTGCCTAATATGTAAGCTAGAAAAAAATAGCTTCGCAAGAAAGGCCATCTCACACTTATCCACTCAGGAACGCGGAGCAAGATCTTTATATACCCACCCCACGCTCAGAGTTAGTTAAAAGTTCAATATTATACAACTCGAAAAAAATGCACAATCACCTGCCATTTGAAATCAAATTCATAACATCACTTTCTTCATTTCGTAAAGCATTGAAATCGTATTTACTAGACAAGGCTTTCTACGCCGTAAATGACTTATATTTTGATAATCGGATTTGATCTTGTAAACACTGGTCTAATATTTGCTATTACTATAAATAAATAAATAAATAAATGCCTTTATTGTCAAAAAATTTTTCAATTTGTAGACAAAGGTAAACTAACAAACAAAGTAAAAAAACAAGGTACACAAACAAACAAACAAAAGATAATACAAAACATTATACAAGTAATATTGTCAGTCTTAAAATAAACATTTATAAATGTTTATAATGTCAAAGAACAAAAAATAAAAATAATATTCAAAAATATTTAGCTAGTTTATAGTAAAATATCAATGACCTCTAAATAAATTCATTTCGATGTCATTAGTAAATATAGCAATAGCAAACATTAGACCACTATTTACAAGATCAAATTTGATTTTCAAAATATAATTCATTTACGGCGTAGAAAGCCTTGTCTAGTAAATAAGAGTTCAATGCTTTGCGAAATGAAAAAAATGATGGTTATGGATTTGATTTCAAATGGCAGGTGATTGTGCATTTTTTTCGAGTTGTATAATATTGAACTTTTAACTAACTCTGAGCGTGGGGTAGGTAGATAAAGATCTTGCTCCGCGTTCCTGAGTGGATAAGTGTGAGATGGCTTTTCTTGAGAAGCTGATACATGTTTACGTATTAGGCAAACGGATTCAAAAAAGGAAGGAAGAGTCAATATTTTTAATTTTTTAAAAAAGTCCCGGCAATGAGTTCTGCTGTTTAGTCCCAGTGAATATCGAACAGCTCTCTTCTGGAGCCTGAAAATGCGGTCAAATTGAGTCGCACAACACGTACCCCTGAATAGAAGGGCATACCTGAGGTGCGACTCAAAAAGTGCATAATAAACAGTTCTAGCCACTGACAAGTTAAGCTCCTTAGACACAGTCCTTATATTTACTATAAACTTACTAAATAGTTTTGAATATTATTTTTATTTTTTTATTCTTTGACATTGTAAACATTTATAAATGTTTATTTTAAACAATAAGACTGACAATGCAATTTGTATACTTGTTTTGTATCCTCTTTTGTTTGTTTACTTTACTTTTGTCTGAAAATTGTAAATTTTTTTGACAATAAAGGCATTTATTTATTTATTTATTTATTATTGTGTGTTATTCATTTTTTTTCTAAAATCAATCAAATCCTTGTATTAATTTAAAATAGTCAAAGCCAAAACAAAATAAACATCTCTTGAAGCTAATAAAATATCAGCCCAATCTTTTGCAAAAATAATCCAACTTACGGACTGTATCAGGCTGAATTCCGGACATGTCTCTCAGCAACCGATCTTCTTCAAACTTCGATCTAGCACCCAATGACATTTTTCTAGACAACACTATTTAAAATATTTACCCTACTATTTCCCCAACTATCTACTGTCTACAACTTATAGTAAATCAACCCAAAGATAATAGAGATATGTACCATATGGCAAAAACAATCATGAGACAATGTCAGATCAAAAATATTGGTATCTTTTGCTAGCCGCAGGTTGTTTCAAAATAGCAGTAAATATCAATAAAAGAATGTACTTTAGTATTAGGATATCTTAAGGACCCTAGACATGTATCCTATAAAAACTTCATACAGGTCATTTTACTCGCAGATAAAAAAAACACAAGACCTGATCATAAATTTTTTTTAATTCAATGTAATTAAAAAGTGTGTAGATTGGCACGTTCTCTGTGCAATTTGCCTGGATTAAATATCTGAATTTTACGATAAAAATGAGGCAAATAAAATTGTGGTTAATAAATTTGGATTAAGGGATCAGTCTCGGGTTACAATAGGTGCGTAAAAATTGGCGAATATCGTTATTCAAGGGTATTAAATGGTATCAAGTACGTCACTGGACATCAGAATTTTTTTTGTCGAGAATTAATAGTAAGAGAGCCAAAGCCGGGATTTAGGGATTTAAAACTCCCTCTTCTTATATAACAGTAAAAGTTGGAAATCAGTGATTGTTAACAAGTACTAGAGTAAAAGCTCACATTCACTGATTTGCTAAAACTACGCCAGTAAAAGTTCAACAGTTATTTTTGAAACCAACTTTTACTAGTGAATGTTAACATTCCCTGAACGATGGCAGTAAGTTTGAAAGATTCAGTTAGCGCAACCGCCACATGTTGTAAAATATATTGATAAATAAGGATAAGTTGAATAATAGGCAATAGAAGGATAACATTAAATTGGGCTAAATGTTGGCAACGTTGACAAACATCTGGGGTAAATTCGCTTTGTTTTTTATGGTTATGTATAATTGTTTTGTTATCGTTGTAAAAAGTGCTGTACGGTATTTTTCATACAGAAGAAATTTTCTGTGAAAAATTATGGTAAATCAGGCACTCGCAAAGATGTAACAGTGCTTGTGCTGTCTGTCCTGTGCAGCTCGAAACAGTTCGTGCGAGTTCATTCCAGCACTGATAAAAAAAGATAGACTTGAACTAAAGTCGTCATCGTTCTTGAAACAAAAAATTTAGTGGGAAGAGAATTTATTTTAGCGTAAAAGAAAATATTTTGCCTGAAGAAAAACTCTCTTAATTCAAGAAAACTGGTTCTCTTGAAAAATTCGAAAATTTCTCTTGAATTTATTTTCATTCAACCAAGTGCAAGTTACTTTGTTTTAAGATAATAAGAAAAGTACGCTAGGAAGTACGCACGGGTTTTGTTGCTTTGAATTTTCCACTTGGAATTTTGCATAATTTGCTTTTTAAACGCATATCGTATAACAAATTAGTGATCGTTATTAACATGCATTTGTCATTTTTTATGGACAAATTTTAGGATATATGGATTCTTTAAAGCACCCCAAAAAATACCAAGGAGTGAAGAAGCAGAAATAACTACTATCGAGGAAAATAATATCACTTTACTTACTCCAGACCAGGAAAACCTAAATTTATCAGAAAATAATATACCTCGTAATAGCGTGTATATGCCTGTATATGATGTATAGACTTCTCTTAGATCAAAATAAATTTTAGTTGAGTCAATAGTATTCGCTATTGGTTTAAGAAAAGTGTCTCTTTAATCAAGAAATGTCCCTTTTCAATCAAGAATTTTTGCATGAATCAAAGATACTATTGTTCTTGTAGCAAGAACTTATTTGCATATTCATTTTGGGTCAAGAGTGAAATACTTTGGACAGATAGATTCTTCCATTCTCTAAAGTAATTTTTTAAAGCTTATGAAAAGATAGTTAATGCTTTGGGCAAAGAAACGTCGTTCTTGGCCCTATTGAAAAGCGCCAATCTTTTGGGTCAAAGTCATATTCATTTCGACTGAGAGATCCTTTTTTTCAGTGAGTCCAGTCTCGTATGTTTTTTTAACCAAGAGTACTTGCGTCTCCCAATTCCTCTTCTGCCTTCTACCTTTCCTTCGATGATTAACTTCAGAAGCTTTGCTCTATACTACTCCGCACGACATGGATGTATGCTGTCTTTCGTTTTTTATATTTGTCAGTAATTCCTTTTCCTTGTTAAGCCCCCCAAAAACCTCTTCATTGCATACATGATCTTCTGTAGCGCCTCTTAAGAGCCTCAGGGTTGTCAACGAAAATTGCAGTGTCTCAACCAGTAAAAGAGCATGCATCATATAACTTTCTTTTCTTTTTAACATCTAATTTTCGCAATCCAACGTCTTCCGCTCCCCTACTATAAAAAATGCTGAATATGTTTTAAAATTATTATTATAAAAGGAAATGTACTGGATATCATATGATAGAGGCTTTCGAAAATATATTAGTTTGTGTCAGGTGTATAGATCAGATAGTGACAGGGGGTACTTAAGAAATATGTGGCATAATCGGTCTTCTTCTAGGTCTCTTAATTCCTCGTGGATACCATGCTGTCATTTTTGTGATCCATCTGTTGTCCGTCCTTCTTGCCAGATCTCCTGCCCATTGCCATTTAAGGGATTTGACTCTGTGGATGACATCTATTACCTGGGTCTTTTGTCGTATCCACTCTATTCTTTTACTGTCTTTCTTGGTTATTCCCTGCATATTTCGTTCCATTGAGCGTTGTGCGGCCTCTAGTTTCCTTAGAATGTCCGTTTTAAGCCTCCAGGTTTCGCATGACTGTACACCATCATGACTGTACACCAATGTTTAAACCAGTAATACCCAAAGTGACCTATGTGGACCCCCAAAGGTTTCCCCACGTCACAAATATCCATCGTTTCATCTATTCCTCACATTTTTTGTCGAATTCTAGGCATATGGTAGAAACACAGATTATACAGATTATAATCTTTGTTTTCTCTTTGTTGTTTTTCGTGGTTCCAATTTTCGGAATCGGGCACTAGTTAGGTGACTAGTTTGCGTACATAGCACGCCCACTTATGGCCTCTAAAATTGTGCACAGCGCCTGACCGGCACAGTGATTAGAGAGATATCGGAAAACCGAATAGCGTCATCCAGTATTTACGCGTACCTTATCACGGTTACGATATGCGCGAGTAAAGGCGCGAGTCAATTTTTAACGCAACACCCGCTAATAACGTTACCGCCTGACGTAATTTGCGGATCAATTACACCAAGCGCTCTTTCTAAATAATCTCTGATAACGTTTAAAAATTGCTTAAACGGGCATGTGCGGGTATTTGACAACCGGAGCCGGCCGGCGAGATCTTTTATTTTAGGTTATGTTTGAATTGTTTTGAATTATTGCTTTAGTTTTATTAGGTAATTTGATATTTAAGTAGCTGGGATTAGTTTTAATTAAATAAATATGGCCCAAAATATGGATTCCAGCTCTTCCAATACTAAAGAACCTATAAAGAGTCTTAGGTTTACAGCAGATGACGACTTAGCCCTTCTAAGAGAATTTGTTGCTTGTTGCCCTAAACCCACTGGCAGACGTTGAACAATAAAGCACTGGAAATAAGCACTTTAGCCCTTTAGTTTTAAAATACCTAGTAAACAAAACAATTTAGTTTTAAAATACCTAGTAAACAAAACAATTTCAAAGTTTTAAATTCAGAGTTAGGTTATGTTTAAATAGCGGACGCGACGCGAGCAGAATTCTTTCCGATCCGATAACTATAAATGAAGAGAGTTAATACCAATTCCTCACGTAAAGCGAAATAACACCTGGCCTTATTAACGTCCATGCACGCTATTCGGTTTAGCGATATCTCTCTATTACGCTGTTTATTGTTATTTTACGCGAGTTTATTTTTGCGCACAGGAAATTTGACTCGTTTGCACATCGTCATAAAAAACAATTTTCGTACCACGAATTAGGGACAAGATTTTTATATGTATACTTATAGGATACCTAATCTGTGGTAGAAATGACCATCGAAACCAGTAAAACTTTGAAACTGGTGGATGAGAAAAAAATGTTTGGGTATCTCTAAACTATGAGAAGCAAAATCTGAATCGGTTTTATACATATATTTTATGGATTTTTGAATTATTGACTTTTTGATACAAAAAATTTTATACAAGTATACTCACGTATAAAATCACGGCTACCTTGGAAATCGGCACTATGTCGATTTTTCAGGCTGTCATTTGACAATGACAGAATGGGATTGTCATAGACGAAGGATCTAGGCCCTCCACCACCTCCTTCTCCTTGTAAATCACGTTCTGTCTTGTTGCCATTACTGGAACAAAGGAATAAATTAATAAATCCCATTAAAACACTCAAAACATATACAGAGTGATAATGAATTTGCAATTGATCCCAAGGAACAGACCAATATAATTTCTACGTTAGAATATCTCTAAGTTTGCTTATTTTTCTGAATTTTTTAGCGTTGGTTTTGAGTAGGCATGCAGACGAAACATCGACGGTTCTAAAAAATCGACGTCTACCGTCGATGTATCGATCTTTCACATCAATACATTCCTAGTTTATTGGAATGATATTTACAGATTACATTTAAGATTCGGCAAAATCAGAATTCGCAAAAAAAACTATCTGAGAAGAATAATAATGTTGATGGTATTTTTCGTACCTTAAATTCTTTAGGCATAGCCGTAGAATAAGGGTAAAAATAATATTTTATACAATTTGTCGAATATACATATACATATAACCATATTAAATGTATGTTCACAACAATATACCAAACAGAAAAAATGAGTCAAGATCAACAAGATCAACTCGGTATTCAATGTCAATCGTTGACCCTCGCATACAATCAAAACACACACGCAAACGGTTTGATAGAAAAGGTAAAACGGCGCGTTTTTTACTGCCCTTTTGTGTAACGATTTGCCTTGGGGGAAAAACCACTGTAAAAAACATAATAATATGTTTAATAATAAACATAGTGTAGTATAACAACCCAAATTCGTTCTACAAAGTTGAAGAGGTAATATTTTGGCCAACTATATAAGAAACACTTTAAATGAAATAAAGGAACTAGGGAAAAACTACTGTGAACCACGGAAAACACAAATTTTCCTGCGGAAATGCGTAATTTCCAAATTTCGCACTTTAGAATAACTGAAATCGGCTATAAAAAAAATACATTTTACGTTTTATTTTTAATATTTTTCTGAACATATAAACACAAAAATTTTCCTGCGGAAATAAGTTGTTTTCATTTTCTAAGGAAATTTATTAGACTTTAGAATAGCTGAAATCAGTTATATAAAAAATAAATATATTTTTGTCTTTTAGAAGCATTTACGAATTGAGGAAAATACAAATTTTCCTGCGGAAATAAACTGTATCTATTTTCTGAGGAAATTTAATAGACTTTAGAATAGCTGAAATTAGTTATATAAAAAATAAATATATTTTTGCGTTTTAGAAGCATTTACAAACTCAGGAAAATTAAAAATTTCCTGTGGAAATGCTTGATTTTAATTTTCCATTTTTGTAAGCATAGATACATAAAAAATTATCGAATCTATTAAATACATACACATGCTATAGTCAAAACAAATAAATAAGGAAAAGCTTTAACACAGAAAATTTCAACAGAAAAATAAAATATATGTTTTAGTTAACATTAGTTAAATAATGAGGAAACATTTACTTTACCTTTAATAACCTTCTTTATCACAATAACCGGAATTTACAAACCAAAATAACATCAACGCGTCTCGAATAGTAGTAAAGCTATTACCTAACATCTAATATCGCTGTTATTTTTCTGATTTCCCTCTCCCTAGTTTGTGAATAATATTTTAAAAATCAATAATTTTACTTATGTATACAGAGTGTCTTAAAAATAAATGTTTTGAATTTAAATAAATATGTTTAGACTTTAGACACACTAGACCCAGTAGCACAAATTACCTATAACAGATGCGAAAGAAAGCGACTGCATCGGAAACCGCTCGGCAAACCCGACACGCCTATTGAGTGGTGTAAATACACCAGTCGTTTAGTCCGGAAACCTATGCTGTGTCGTATTCGCTTGCTGGAATGACATAGTGTGTGGTTATATGTTTCTTTTTAAAACGCGTGTAGGATTTTTGTTGAACTTTTGAACTGTTATTTCTAAGTTTTGGTAATTTGTATATCTTATTTAAAATGGGATGCAAATGTGTTTATTTATAAGGAAAAAAAAGATATTTATAGTATAAAAAATTAATTTATTTAACAAAATTTAATTAAAAATGTTACAAAATAGTTACCTTTCTATTGGTTCTATCGGACTTTTTTCGACTATATAAATCTTTATTTGTAAACTTTAATACATCAAATATTTTCAATCTAATTAATCATTTAATGATGTAAATAAGAGGAAATTTCTCACATGGGTGGTCAAATTTTATAGTTTTCATTATATCAAACAGCCTCTGAGAAATGTTTTCAACTCAAAATGCCTTTAATTATGTTTGACTACATCATTAAAAAGGGTGTTCAAATACATCAATGTGATATTTGTCTAAAATTTGCAAAAAAATCCGAATCTCTGGATAACTCGAAATTATTTACCCATTTAAAAGCCTTTGATCATGAAAGTGGAAAAATTTGTTCATTTTATTTACAGGCTGGAAAAATTATTTAAATTAAATTTTGATGAGTTTTGCACTGAAGAAAACGTTCAGAGGCTGTTTGATATAATGAAAACTATAGAATTTGACCACCCATGTGAGAAATTTCCTCTTATTTACATCATTAAATTATTTATTAGATTGAAAATATTTTATTCATTAAAGTTTACAAAAAATAAAGATTTATATAGTTGAAAAAAGTCCGATAGAACCAATAGAAATGTAACTATTTTGTCACATCTTTAATTAAATTTTGTTAAATAAATTAATTTTTTATACTATAAATATCTTTTTTTTCCTAATCACCTACGAGCTGATATAATATGACGAACAATCTATTAAATTACTGCGAGATTATACAGAAAAGTCCACAGACTTCGAGACATAGGAAAATCAAGTCCATTTAGCGTGTGTCCAAATTTTGACAAGTTTTCAAAAATTACAGTTTTGTTTAGACTGACGTTTAATTTCACCTGACTTCTCAGTGAATGATTTCTTTTTAGTGGGTATATAAAATCTAAAATTTACGGCCATGAAGAAATTAAAACTTGGAGCAGTTAAGGCAGAAAATATTTAATGCCTTTGACACTGTCACCCCTGATATGTTATCCAATGTGAGGAGGGGATTTTATGATCGTTTGGGTTATTGTTTAATGCAAGAGGGAGGCACTTTTGAACAATTTTTGTAATTTTTTAAATTTCATTATCCTGTTTTTTTTACCGCTTACCCATTACCTACCTTGACGAACATGGGAAAACGAAGGTCCTTTTCAGGACCACAAATATTTTGATTGAGAAAATTGGTAACTTTTTTTGGATTAAAAAACAAAAGTTGTTAATATAATACCAATTTAAAAGTGTTTTAGTAGTTTTAATACACGCTATGATATAAAATTTATTATTATTATAATGTACATTATTAATACTATTGTTCATTCGAAATGGCATTAAGGCCCAATTGCAACAATGATTTAAATTTTTCTTAAAGATAAGTAGAGCTTCGAATGAGCTGTATTTATATTTACTTTAATATTCACCTTAAATGAGGGAATTTGACTGATACAATTTTTGAATTTGAATTGTTTTTAATGATACTAACAATTTTAGTTCAATTTTTAATAAAAGTTATTTAATATTAATAGAAATCCAAGAGATTTGAAACCTCTTTTAGCGATTTATAACATTCTCAAATGAATTACAGGTGCCCTTATTTTCTATGAAAATCACACAGCTTTTTTTCATAGTCGCTGCAGTTGCTATAGCTATAAAAAACTAATTTTTTAAGGTGTGAAAATTGCGACACACGCTAAATGGACTTGATTTTTTCGTATGTCTCGAAGTCTGTGGACCTTTTGTATGCCTCGATAAAATATATGTTTTAGTTAACATTAGTTAAATAATGAGGAAACATTTACTTTACCTTTAATAACCTTCTTTATCACAATAACCGGAATTTACAAACCAAAATAACATCAACGCGTCTCGAATAGTAGTAAAGCTATTACCTAACATCTAATATCGCTGTTATTTTTCTGATTTCCCTCCCCCTAGTTTGCGAATAATATTTGAAAAATCAATAATTACAGTCTTGAAATGATAATTAAAATGTAAATAAAAAAACATTTTTTACTGATGAATCAGACTAAACGCCAGCATAATTATTTATAATTTTTGTATTACCATGTTTAAAGTAACAATGAATTAAGGTTACACATCAGCAATTGTTACTAAACCAAATTACATGTTCCCAAAATGGTGATGTTTCAAATTACACATCCGTTTTAATTCAATACTTTTTTTATAAAATTCCGAAAAATTTGCCTTTTTTTTGTTCATGTAGACACAAACAGTTAACAACAATCAAATTGTTTAGTAGAGAGTAAAAACAATAATTATTAAATTGAAGAACAATAAAATCCATAATAAATGAAAAAAAAAATCAGAGTTTAATGTTATTATCGTTTGTTGCATAAATGTTTGTTATATACCTATGATATTAAAGCAAAACAATAATTAAACAAAAACAATTTCAATGACTCCTATATAGCGATGACTCAAAATTATTTAATTATATATAAAATGCCACCACGTTCAACAATTGAATACTATTGATTCTAAAATAGATTATATATATTTATTGACCTTTATTATTTCTTTAAGTATCAATTTTGAATTTAAACTTGAGTTTATATTAATATGAAGTGCGTTATGCAATGTCAATCAGGCTCAATGATTATTATTAGTACTTATTAATTAAAAATTGTAGCGTATGATCGAAAAAAAAAACGACGTTCCCTCATATACAGGGTGGCACCTCTCATACGCCTCGGAGGCTCCTAGGAGAACGACAGTTTGTATTGAAATGAAATTTTGTGAACATATGCAGATTAATTCAAAAAAAGTTACATATCAAAGTTGTGGTTTTTGTAATGGAACATCCTATATATTAATTGATTTTCACATTCTAGGAGAAAAATAAAGGTGTGTTTTATAAGAAAGGTTTTTGACATATTATTTAACATTTTCTGGAAATAAAGAACAATTTTTAAATTACAATAAAAGCTACCTAAATTGGAATTTACCCGGTATAACCTAATATGTAGTTAAATTAACTGTTGTACTTTAAATCAAATTAAAACTGGATACA